CGCAGAACTTCTGCATGAAGAACTTCAACTTGGTTTTGTGCTCCTCAATATTCTCGGCAACCAGCATGGCCACCTTAAAGAGATCATTTGAAGCGGTTTTATTTGCTGTCATGGTGCTAAACTGTCAGTCTGGCTACCTACATGTTTTCTGTGCCTTGAAGTGTTTACCTGTTTGAGGAAGGCTTCGAGTGCATAGTAACTAGTCTTCTTCATCTCAGCGTTGATGTGTCCACAGAGCTTAGACATAACCTCAAACAGATCTCTGTAGTGGTCCATAAGGCAGCTGCTGAACTGGGATGCGTGTCTGGCAAATAATCGAAGCCCGGCTGTTTGAGAAACAGAGCCAAAGAGATGTAAGTTTTCGAGGAGTTCTATCTTCATTTTTGCCGTCGAAACGGGGAGGCCTTACCGAATGTGACAGCGTAGCGAGTCATTTCCATCTACAAGAAAATTGGGAAAATTACAGAATTCATGTTAATATCACATTTAATGTAAATGCAATAACAAAACAGTTCAGGCTGCCGTCACACAGTAAGCACAAACATAAGGGTCAATATGATTACATATGCTACATAAAAAAATAAAAAAGAGTACTTAACAACTTCTCATCTACAATAAGCTAATACCACATACAGCTAGATAGCTGAGATAATGATGTTTACCTGGGGACTGACTGCCTTTAGGGCATACAGAAAAATGTCTTTAGACGTCGCTGGGTCTGCAAGTCAGAGACACACACCAATCCACGAATCACGCAGCCATAGAGACAGAAATTAGATTTTGTTTTTGTCTCGATTGCGAAATAAACAGAGGAAGTAAATAATGCGGATACACATAAACAAACACACACCTTCATCCATGGTTTTAGTGAAGTTGACCATTAGAGCAGTGATTCCTCTCAAGCATCCAGCTACAACAAAAAGCTTTGGTTCCTTTGTTGAAGAGGTCATCTGAAGCAAAATCATTAAAAACTAGAACTGAATACACACACACATACATTTAACTGGCTGCATTTGTTATTATGTGTTCAAGAAACCATATCTATTTAAATGTGATTTTGCCCACAGCCCATATGATGGTGATCTTCTCTTATTTTTTTTCAGTCACTCCCACATATTCTGTAAACATACCTGTTCTTTTAGCTCTCCTAGATAGGCTTTGTACAGTTTCTCAGAGTTGTTGACCATCTCGCTGGGATGAACCTCAGCAAGAACACCCAGCAACTCGTAGATTTTGCCGAGAACTATAACAAAAGTAAGATTTTTTTTCACTGCCTCCGTTAAGTCATTGTCTTTACGGTGTTCAACCAAACCTTGGTTTCAGGCATTCAAGGAAGACTCACCAGAATCTGGTAGTTTGCTCTTCTGACAGAGCTCGCTGTAATATCTGTTGAATATTTCACAGATGCGAAGCTCTGCAGCCACACTGGAAGCCTTTGTTGTTTGAAGAACCTGTGGAGAGTATTTAACAAGAACAAGAGCTAACCAGCATACAGACAAATACAAGTCCTTGTTCACAAGTATATCAAAACACTCTCACAAGATGTTTCTCACCTAGCAAATAAGGCTAATGTTAAAGAAAATACACCTGAAGCCTGGAGAAACTAACCTTAATAAGCAGCTCCAGCACTGGAGTCCTACATTTGGCCACTTTTTCCTTTGTATACACAGCCATGCATGTGTCCTGCATAAAAAAAGAAATAGAAAGAGTAAACAACATGAGTAATTTGTGGAATTACATGTATAGCTACATCCAAAAGTATGTTTTATACACTAGTTGCAGAATGAAAACTTTACATGTGGCACTGTAAAGAAATTAGTGACAGGTCTTTCCTCAGGAAAGCAAACAAACATGTCATCTGGTTCTAAACGGGGAACTTACTCTTATGTCAATGGCGTAAGTCTTCTCCCAACCTTTGACTCTTGGAGAGACCTTGTCCAAGAACTTCTCCAAAAAACACAAGATCTCAACTCGGGTGTCCCGGAGCTGGAAAAGAGATGTTTCTTTTAATATAAAAAAGTTCACTTTCACTAGACTATTGTTGTCTCTGGATGTTCCTTGATATCTACCTCGTCGGACGGCAGGGACTTTCTGAGGAAGCTGAGCAGTCCATAGTCTTTTGAGAACAATAAGGATGTCTGTAAAGCTTCAAGTTGAAGATGGAATCAGAAAGAAATGTTAATATTTGTTTTTTGTACGCTTTTCACACACATGCGCCACAACACCAACAATAAAAAGCTGCAAAATGAGAATACTATTAACTTTTAACTACATCTGCAAAAATATAAAGCCTGTATTACTGCCCCTTTGCTTCTGCCTCACAGGACTAAACACTGTTACTAATGTACTACTACTTAACAGAAACGTGACTGATCAGAGTTATATGGACTTAAAACTATTATCTAGATTTTGGTAGGGCGACATGACCAAAATTGTTATCACGATAAAAAGTTTCATATCTTTCAATATCGATAATTATCACGATAAGTATCAAATCGCTCAAAGTTTAAAGGTTGATTTTTGCTCCTGAGTGATGGTCAATGGTTAATTGAGGTTTAAACTCTTCTTTATGGTCAACCCTTGATGCCAAACAAATCTACTTCACAGGGTAGAGGTAGAACATTCAAAATAAATATGATAAAATCTCTGTTAACAAATATGTTTTTTTTTAGTCCTTTTTCCTTAACAAAATAAACATCTTAATAAAACATTTCCTAATTGTTTGATTCAAGTGAATAAAATTAAACATTTATTGAACATTTGTTATATTGTTATTGGAAACAAAATATTGCCATAATTATTTTTATTGTTTTATTGTCCAGCCTCGGATAAAAGTTAGTTGGAGGGCAGAAGAGGGATTTGAAAGGGTTGGATTTTGAGCACATACATCAGATGAAGTGATTCAGTTTGAACTGAGGGGAGATGCCAGGATGCTGAGAGTGGAGCCCAGAAAGAGAGATGACCAGGCCATAAGTCGTGCTTGTATTGTGATAATATGACCATACGCGTTGCATTATGATATTAATTAAAGTGTCCACCTGAGAAAAAAGGTGCCATGATCATACAGACATCTGAACCTTCTGTTGCAAATCCACATAAAAGTGTCTTCATCTTTAGTGTTGGGTTGTTGTACTACTTGAATAGAGCAGACTACCACTGAAGTTTCAGTAGTAAGATCTTGCAAGTTTTGCTTATTGTCAAAGAATCACGTGGTTTTTGCATTGTGTTCTGGCTGAGCGTTGCCGCCCACCACGTTGAGTTTTGGCGGAAGACCCTGGTGTGGAGAAGGCAGACTAAATAAACCTTACTTATATTATCATTATAAATAATTTCTGCATGACGAATTGATAAGTACCTTCTAAAAATCCACACAGCACTTTATCATACCAGGTGTTTAACGCCCGTCAACATCTGAAGCATTATTAACATCATATTAGCCAGATCGTCAATGGAGTTTGGCGCGGATTCAATGTGTGCATTTGAAGAGTATTTTTATGGACTTTCTTTTCTTACCAAGTTCATTCTCGGTTGGTGCTAGCATGCACTCCTGTACCAAGTCACCGACAATATCGTGACATTTCAAAGCTGCAGCTCGGGTGTCTTCGTCAGAAAGTGATTCGTGAAGTTTCAGAAGAAGCCCTTGAATGCCTCCAGCAGTGGTGCAGTGAGAAGACATGGCTGCAGCGCTGACCTAAGCTAACATTAGCATCACCACATTACTTTCTCACAATCAGAGAGAAACTACGTCGTCCTCACAACTAAATTAGCTAAACAAACACACTGTCAGGCTAGTCGGCTCATCAACCCCAAACCATGACGCACGGCCGGAACAATCACGATGGGACACACGGCCGCATAGGCTTCAAAATAAAAGCCCAGAGGATGGACATCCGATTTCATAAACTACTATCTAGTGGCCCTTAACCGCCGCTATCGCACTGTGACAGTGTTTGGTGATTGGCTGCAATCTTCCTTCTCTTCAGGACCTGTACGCCTCCAGGACTCTGAGGCGTGCAGGAAAGATTGCAGCTGACTCCTCCCACCCTGGACACAAACTGTTTCAGACTCTTCCCTCTGGCAGGAGGCTGCGGTCCATCAAGACCAAACCTCTCGCCACAGTTTCTTTTCGATGGCAGAGGGCTTCCTCAACAAGGCCCGGGTCCCCACGGTCAGTGACTCTCATGCCCCTCTCCTCAAACTCGCACACACTCATACACTCTCCTGACCCCACACTTTACAACAACGCTGAACTGTGCTTTATGCTCATGTTGCCAACTTTTGCACATACTTATCAGCATTGTATTATAGTATTTTTGTATCTTTTTCTATTTTTTGTATTCTTGTAAAAAAAAATTCTGATCTCCTTACTTTTTATATTACTATTTATGTTATGTGTACTGTAAGCACCAATTCATACCAAGGCAAATTCCTCGTATGTGAAAATGTACCTGGCAATAAACCCGATTCTGATTGTAGTGCTATGCACAGGACTGTTAACGCCACAGCTGATGTCTACTTATATTAATAATAGTATAATCAGTCTAGAAGTATTAATATCTATATTATTCCCACGGAAAATATATATAGTTGTAGTCTCTAATTGTGACCACTGACTAGAGAACAATTAACGTCATCATTTTATGATAACTTGTTAGTTCTTTTCTGACTGCTTTAGTTTGGTAACTGTATTTTGAAAGTATTTACCAGAAGTAATATTGTGCCATCTTCATTGATGCTGACTTGACGAATTTTAAAGTGTTGCAGTTCCTCTTTTGACCGCCGGAGGGCACTGAACACTCATTTTTACACTCATGACAGGTAGAGAGAGTCGAGTGCTTGGTTTTTCCGTTTCTGGCAGTAATACGCGAACGAAAAAAAAAAAAGGTGGGTTTCCTGTTTGTTCGTTTTGTGGTTAAACGAAAAAACTATCACTCCAGAGTAAACACACAAACAGTGCTGCCAAGAAGAACTGCAAAATGACATAATATTGGAAACAAAGATTATTCTTATATTTGTTTTTATTTTTGGTCTTTCTTTAGAATACAAAACAAGAACCAAAATCACAAAAATAACATTTACAAAACAGATTATTTAACCAAGGTGACCGAGGCAACATAGAAAAGCATGTCTGAAAGTGATATTGGTGGTCTAGCCTGGAAACTTGAGGTAAAACAGCGAGCAATGTAAAAGGTCAGATATCTTTACAAACGGCTTTGAATTAGTGCCTTGCTTCAGTAGTGCTATTCACAAATAGAGTTTAACAATATCATGTTTTCCTAACATGTCCACAATTAGCAGTGACTTAGTGATGTAGTGCTTCAGACCTACCTAAGAACAAATTGATTATTGTGAGATGTAGGTCGAAATTTCTAGGCATGTCACACTATATGGCACCATTTTAAATGGTTTCTATGTTTATCCTCTTTGATACACACACACACACACACACACACACACACAACACTGTTCCTACTCATTCACCCTCTTAACTCTCAAATGGGTGCAAATGATTTCCTAAACAGTCTTTACTTGTTCCCCACCAAGAATACTTCTGGCTAAAATGAGTGAATAGCTTTACCATTGATGTCACCTAAAAATGTTTCCAGCAGGAAACAAAAGCTGTTTCGCAAGTTGTAATTCCTAAAAAGTTTGACGGGGCAGGAAAAAACAAAAACTAAAAACACTTGAATGATTAAAAAGCTGGAATGGCCATCAGTCTGAGGCACAAACTCAAAAGTTCCATCTTTTTCTTAAAATACAAAAATGGTAAGACGAAATGCAAACACTGCATCAAGAGAGAATTAATAATAACCTAGCATCACTTACCAAAACACAAAGCAGTGAAATTAGTACAGTTTGGTCTGCACATGTTTGTGCAGCTATGTTTTTGCATGAACAAACGTTTCTTGTCTTTTCTTCTTTCACATGTAAGACATGGTCACTGGTGATTCAGCATAGCAGATTATTACTTCTTTTTTTTTCTTTTTTTTTTTTAAAGTTCCTTTGGATGTGTGCCTTTTGTTGATTTTGCATCTGTCACAGCAGGTAGATTGAGCTAGCATTACTTCATATATCTATATATACACATGCATTCAACATCATATGTATTTCCCATAGAGAAAAGAAACAAAAAAAAAAAAAAACTATTTTAAACTCCCTTTTCCACCACTTTAAGTTTAAGCTATAAAAACCTGCACGACAGTCCATGAAAAAAAAGTTTGCATGGAGGCTTTGCTGTTTGATGTGAGATATGCAGCAGGTTGTAGAGGTGCTGGCGCCGGGGGTGCGACGTGGAATTCTTATTCCGTTGAGAGGGGTCATGGGTATTCTTCAGCCGCTCCTATTCAAATGGGCCTTTTTCTATGTAGTTGGGTTTAAGATTCACATTATGCTGGAAGAAGAGTAACTGGTTGCAGACACTGACAGGGCAGGCCTTCACCAATAGCAAAAAACACTGGAGAAGAGTGTGAATGCATATCTACCATCTTCTGACCTGCAGAGAGAACAACGTGTAGAAATAGAAACTTTATATCTGTGTGTGAAGGTTTTAGAAAGTAGAAATAAAAAAAACATTATTGACAACCCATATCAGACTGAGATGCAGCCTGCAAATACTACATCATCATACTCACGCTTCCCACTCTTCACCACTGTGAGGGCACATAGCTGTAGCTGGGTGTGCCAGGGGGCCGATACGTGGGCATCGTGACTTGGTGGGGGGCAACAGACGCTGGTGATGGAGATGTCAGCAAGGTTCCTGAGAAGCAAAGTGACCGCAGAATGAACACCAAGTGCACGAGTATGACACAATGTACGTGATAATACACACTTTCACAACAAAGAACAGGGGCCCAGATTTACTGCGGTTGCATTGTAAAAGTAAACTAATTCTAATGGCTCCTCTAAGAAATAAAAAAATAAAATAAATCTTTAAACCCTTGTGGACAGCACAACACACTGAGGTATTACCTTTTTTTTGAACATCTCTACCATCTAAAGAAAGACAACCAATTAGAAACCGATGCTTACCAGCTGACATGGCCATAGTGGTGCCGGCTACCATCCCCATGGTGACGCCGTTGTGGCGGGGAGGATGGATGGGCGGGGCATACATGGCCGCAGGCATCCCATTTGGCTGGACCACTGTCGTGTGATGGATGACATGTGGCGGTGCAGCGTACAGTGGCTGTGTGTAGTAAGTGCCTTGTTGTTGTGAAGGTATTAGGGCCTGCACCACAGAAGAACAAAGAAACGGCTCAAAACGTTAAACTAAACACGACTGTGTTCAGGTGAAATGACACTTAACAGATCCGACCCGGTATGAAACAGCTATATCAATAAAGAGCTGTCCTCAGGCCAATTTCAGATAATATTTCAATCCCAGAACCAAGAGCTGAACGCTGTCATCCTTCAACACCACAAATGCACTGACCTGCGCATACGGGTTCTGCTGGGGGTAGGTGCTCCTGACTGGGTACACAGCAGCAGCATAGGGGTTGGGTGAGGAGGAGTATGGCGGGACAGTCCCTGTGTTGGGAGAGCAGGACATTTTGAAAGGAGTGCCTGGAGCATAGCCTGGGTGGGAGGAAGACACTTTAAGTTAGCGCTGCTGATTACTAAGTGTGCAGTCACTTTCAGGCCGTGGCTGTGGATGAAGAAGTACTGCATATTGGTTGTTACTAACTGCGGCTTCATAAGGAAAGGCCTGAAGACACTTTGACCTACATACAACTTGAAAAGGTGTTGAAATCTTTGCTCCAGCACAGAGTGGTGAAATCCAATTAGAGTCAATGACAAAACAGACTTTTCAGTGGCCTCATTTAGAAAAAGACTCTTTTTACTTTTTGAGAGCCATTTTGATGTACTTTCCTACGATATGCTTCCTACAATATTTCTGTAAGGGAAAAAAAAGGTTGAACATTCCCATTTTGAAGAAGATTAATAGCAACTAGAGCTGCAATGATTCATCAATTAGTTGTCAGCCTTTAAATTAATTGGCAACAATTTTGATAATAAATTTATTTACTGGATAAAACACAACACACACTAACACACTAACTAATCGATTAATTGAGAAAATAATAAATAGATTGATCGACAATGAAAACAATCGTTAGTTGCAGACCTAACAGCAAGTGAAGCATCTGGGATGTATGATCTTACAATAAATCTATTGCTGTGTATTTTTCTGATGACCCCAGACTAAAGTGGGGTCCGGCAGCACTTCATTCTTACCGCTGGGGAAGGCTGGGTTTGCTCCTGCATAGACATTGGGAGTGTATGTTGGAGCAGCTGTCGCATAGCCAACAGGGAATCCAGCTACCGTGACCAAAAAGAAAGAACATAAATTAAATCCTTTTTACTCTTGACTTCAGAATATTTTGTTGTAATTAAAATATGTGTGTCAAAACCATTACACATCAACACACCATAATTACCTGGGTAGCCCATACCCTTAGTATTGGTAAAGGGGACCCCTGTTGACGCAGGGTTGTACACTGGATTCATTTTGGTGGCTTACTCGTAGATGCTGCAAAGAAAGAAGGTTAGACCATGTGAATATCAAAACATGCAAAGATGATCTGGGTAAATTCAGTACGGATTCATTAACGGACAGCCGTCCCTTCAACCATCCTGGCCCAAAAGCATCCTATCATACAGTATATTCTGCGGCTGAAATAGAGCAGAGACGTCCCCCTGATGCTGCTGATGGATAATAGTGCCAAATGACTCGCCCATATGAGGATCCTGACTGAGAGAAGATAATAATAGCTAATAGCTTTAAACAATACCATTACACTTCACACATCAGAAGTCTATAGGTTCAAACTGACTAAAGTTTTAGACGTCTATTTTACATTAATAAAATCTTGCTCATTTCGTATTTTATGAAATGCTGTCAAAACACATTCAGACTATCAGCAGATAATGAAAAACTACTTTAAACTACATTTAGGCCTATTTGTTTCAGCTGCACCACCATCATGATCACTCAGAAATATTCGCATCATATCCAGTTGATAACTACGATAGGAATGTTCAATCAGTGCGACTACAATATGAAAGGTTACTTTTCATTCATCGGTTTTATACAGATTAGTTTAAACAGCATACTGCAGCACTGTAGCGCACAGTAAGTGTTTTTGTGCAACTGTTGCCAACCTGAAAGCTGCCTTAATGTCCACTGGGCCACTGTGTTATAAAGGACAGTGTAGTTTGTAGATTTTATTCTGTGCTGAGGATAAATTTACTATGTCCAAAGATAACTCTCTGTCCATACCTCGATTACAGATTAATCATAAAATTGGTCATGTTGGGGTAAAAAAAAAAAAAACTAACAGCCTATTTAACTGTAGATACGTAACTGTGTTCCAATATGTGCTTTGATATCGACAGTCTGAATGAGGAAATGTCACAGCGCGCCTCAGGAGGGGAGGAGTCAGAGAGGATCTCAGCGTTACTTGACGTAAACCTCCTCCAGAGCAGGTTAGGTTCACAGCGTAAGTTGCCCGGGTTACTGACCTAGAGTTTATCTGATCTCGGTCTCTGAAACCGAAAACCCAGAGTTTCCCTCATCTTGGGCACAACTTACCCAGAGTTTTTATTAAAACCGCTTTCTGAAACAGGGCCCCGGTGACACCCTTTGTTTTTAACAGGTAGCCTAACAGAAGTCTCGCTCCAGGACAATTCTCGCTCAGATATCTCATGAGAGGCGAGGTGTTGCTAGAAGGTGGCAGTGGAAACGTGAGTCAGAGGGGGAGAGAGGAGTTTGTTGTGATGGAGTAACGTTAGAACATAAAGTCTTGCCAACAGTTTTTTTTACGTACACATCAAACTCCTCTCCCTTGTTTCCACCCGCTTTTCCTGCAACAACTCGCCTCTCACGAGATTTCAGAGCGAGACTTCAGTTTCTTGTCAAAAAAAAAAAAGGGTAGGAGCTTTTTATATACAGTCTATGGGTAGGAGTCACCTGCTGGTGTAGGGATTGTTTATGATGTTGCCTCTCATCTCTTACTGCGAACACACCTGCTTGCCCCGCCTCTTTCTGTCTCTCTCTCCCTGTATGTGTCTGCTTAGCTGACTTTCTCCTTCAGCAGTTTGTTTTATAAAGTCGCTGAAAAGACAAAGAACTCGTCTTTTGCATTTTTCCACCTGCAATTCTGTTTTCTGCAGCAGATGCGTTGCATGTGGAGGGGGCTTGTTAATGACGTCGCCTATTGAAACGGTTGAAACCAACACGGTACCAAATAACATCTGCACAGTTGTGTTCACTGTTGCTTTACCTGGTCCCCACTTCAAAAATATCCACCAGCTGTGTTTCTATGCAAAATGCTAAAATGGCCTGCCAAATGTACCTGGGTGGCCCGCACAAGTAAAGTCCATATGTGGGAAACACTGGGTGTAATTGCCCCAAAGGAATACAGTTGCAGCCCTGAAGCCATCTGCTGCATGTATTCCTATACTTTCTGTCATTTTGACCCCAAAATATGTTTTTAAAAAAAATAGGTCCTGGGTTTAAAAATACCAAAATTAGCTTTTAACAGTGCAAATTGATGTGTGTGCCTTTTTCGCACATGTAAGTTAATTGCTCTTTCAGCTAAAATGATTCATTAATGTAGCGCCGTCTAGTGGACTAATATGTATTACATCATTTATCACCCAAAACACCACAAAAATCTATTATGGTCAAAAGAAGCACATAATGCATCATAGCAGCACTTACAGCAAGTCTTGACACTTCAGTAGAATGGTTAAAGCGGATATGATAAAATTATCTGGTGAGAACAACAGTGAGGACTGCCAGTGGCTTATATGACTTGACCTTGCAAGGTCATAGCCACAACAGATATTCTTGTTTGTTTCTTTTTATCTTTGTGTGTAAGTGCCGTCAACACATAACTGGAGTCCCAACATTTTGTGGGAGCTGGTCTCATGTTTTGCATAATTTAACATGGTGCAGTGCTAGAGTTTTTAATGTGGACCTGAGTTTAAATTCCTTTCTTCCATGCCTTAACTACGCTTGAACACTTCCACCCCATAAACATCTTACTGAATTTGTGTTCTTCAACTTAACTTCCACTGTAATGTATCATTCTGTTCTATTCAATGTATAGAGCAGCTGCAATCTATCTCGTATGACGCATGCATTTTTCAAACATTTTGTAAAAACACACTCTTATACATTTATTCATTCATATATCATATTTAATTTTTAATTACAATACCAGAGGAAGCCTCGACTGCCCCACATTAGTTGACAAAAAACACTGGGGTATACAGCTGTATCCAGCTGTGACTCTGTTCTGCCCTCCAGCGGTGGTCCACGCACCATTACATCACTTCACAAGTGTGCCCAGGCAAGGAGCATTTGGACAGTGAATGAAACGCACTCCTTCAATGCATCATTTTATATTAAGGCTACAATGATGAGACCATGATTTCCTAGTGAGTAGAATATTAGCATTAGCACTTATGGAGAGAGAATTACAAACCCAAATCTATTTTATGTTCCCACTTTTTGTGGAAACCACAGGGCAGAACACAGCCTGACATCTTTAAAAAATCTCAATCATCTAATTTTAAAATTTAAAAGACATCCAGCATAGAGATAAATCCACTCCATTAAAGATTTTAGTACCGATGCTTCTCATTTTCTCCTTCCACCAACACACACAGTGGACGACAGGAGCAATGAAGAAGAGTGTAAAGCAATTCAATTATTATTTTTTTCTTTATAAAAATGCTGCTTGGTGGTTCGCCTGTAAGCGTGTTTCCAGTAGGTCTGGATAATTACAGGGTTTTCCTATATTTCCTTACAGGTGACGTTATATGTGTTGCCTGAAAAAAAAAAAAAGATGGCAACCTTTTAAGTGGAAGAATTTTTGAAAGGTGAACGTGAACGCAGCGGGGCTTTGTTATCATTAGCTAGCTTTACTCATTTAAGCCTCCGTAGTTGCACAACCTGCAGTTGGCCAAGCGTGTTTGTCGTTGTAGGTTCGTTTCGATGTCAAGACCGGCCCGGCTAATTATCTGTCTGACCGTGCAAACCCACTGGACTGTCCCCGGACAGCAGCCAGATGGGGGGCAGCTTGTCAACAGGCCGCACAGCACAGGAGGCAGGCAGCCAGACAGCTGTGGTCTGCAGTGACGCATGTCCCAACGCTACAAATAACACACAAATCTCCTTACCTAGAAAATAACCGACAGGAACTTACTGTTAACTGTTCTGACCGTCTGTTTGTCCCTTCCTTCGGTCTTCTGGTGTTAAATAAAATTTAGCTAGCTGGTGTTTTGCTCCCAGATGCTTTGCTGAACTCTTTTGAGCACTCCGCGTCACTTCCGTGAAGTGTCACGTGGTCTGCACAATAAAATAAAATAAAATAAAATGTTAAATAGGCTATTACATTTGGTTTTATCAGGTAACCAAATTTCTTCTCGTAATGAGTAGGCCTATCTTTTGTCTTTATCCCATCCTTTTTTTTCTTTTCTCAATACAAACGACCTCTAAAACGACTATGAATCGAAACTAAAACGACAGATTACATAAAATAATTTATTAGTAAATAATGTCATTTTTACTTAATATACTTCCGTTGTGCCGTGCACAGTCGTTAGCTCCACTTTGACATTGTAGTGTCCGATGTCCACTCTGCAACATTGTAGAAATTCTCTGTGAGCTCATTATTATGTCTGCTCTGTGGTCCTTGCAGGCAATAAAAATTATATGCATTTGCCAAGAGCTTCCCTTTATCTGACAACTTATCAACACTGGATCTGGCATAACTTGATTAACACCCAATAAAAAAGAATACTTCTACAAATTAATGTCCGTGTTTCTTTGACAGCAATATAATTAGTGTATTTGCTCTTCAAGGACCTGACGCTTCGTTTCCATTCAGCCATTGAACAGTGAAGAGTGGAGTCCATACTGTTGTGGTTTAAGTGCGACCTATATGTGATTTTATAGGTACAATGTCGCGATTTAACTTATATTAGGAATCACTCTACGGTGTAAAGTGAAACTATTGAGTCGGCTGGTGTCGTCTGTAAAGAGCAGCCCGGATATAATGTCTGGAGCGGCCGGTGGAGGAGGGGGTTCCTCCAGTCTCGGCGCAGCAGCGGCAGCCAGTTGCAGCTCCGCCGGCTCTCCCTACTCTGCTGCAGCCGGAGGAGGCGCAGGGGTGGCCGGGAGGCTGCCAGCCCGGGTCTTGGAGCATGTTTTCTCCTATTTAGAGCTCTCTGACTTGATGCGTTGCGCGCTGGTCTGCTGGCACTGGAACAATATACTAGCGGATGAAAACAGCGAGGTGTGGCGTAGCCTCTGCAACCGGTCTCTGAGCGATGAAGCCCTGCGATCTGACATCCTGTGCAACCTGCCTACCTACAAGGGGAAAGTAGGTTTAACGATATACAGCTGTTCTCTCCGGTTGAGAGAGCCATAATGTCCAGTCCATTCAATTATCTGCCTGTTTAGGACTATCCTTTGCTCTGCAAACACCGTCACGGATAGTGACTCATTGTCTGGTAAACTGCATATTGTCTCCAGGATGAATCTAGGCTATATGCTACACTAGTGTCTGTCAGAAGACCCTAGTGATTCATACCCTTTTTACTGAAACCCCGAATTAAATTGGTATAGGCTTACTCTTAAATGGGGTTTGGTTGTTTGAGTCAGGAAAGTATTTAAGAATACGATTTACTAGGCTAAACTATGTGTTGTGTTGTTAACATTAGCTCAAGTCCATGGAACCCTGTTTTATTATTTTATTTAGTATTGAGGTGACTGTTGTTTATTATTGCATAACTGTGTGCACCATATGCAAGGAAATAATAGGCCCACTGAAAGTGAAACCTATTTTTAGAGCAGCCTCTTCCAGCCGAATCTTTCATGGCAAGATATTGATTCATGTACCCCATAATAGCAGCTGTAATCATTTACTTATCAAACTAATTGTGAAAGACTTTACTGAAGCTTTGAGCTACAAAGCCCTGATTGGTGGAAAAGCCCATGACCATGTTTCACAATGTTCATGCAAGTATCTATATATACTGTATATATCAAGAGGGCTTTCCTTTTAACCACTAAAAGTTATGAATGGTTTAATATTTTAATAGAATGATGACAGCAAGATCTTTCATACCTAAACGGACATATCTGCATGGGTGAAGGTTTGCCACCTTCCACTAAATCTCTCTAAGACTGAACTCTTGGTCATTCCAGCCATGCAGTCTATCCACCATAACATCAAACTACAAATTGACTCCTCAACCATCACTCCAACCAGGGTGGTGAGAAACTTGGGTGTCATGACTGATGACCAGCTGTCCTTTTCAGACCATGTTGCTGCTGTCTCTCGGTCATGCTGCTTTGCTCTATTCAACATAAGGAAAATCAGGCCCTACCTCACTCAGTACGCCACCCAGCTTCTGGTACAGGCCATGGTTATCTCTCATCTCGACTATTGCAATGCCCTCCTAGCGGGTCTTCCAGCTTGTGCGGTGAAACCCTTACAAATGGTTCAGAACGCAGCAGCGCGTCTGGTTTTTGATCAGCCCAAAAGGTCTCATGTCACTCCACTACTCAGTGACTTCCACTGGCTCCCCGTGGCCTCCAGAATCAGATTCAACTCACTAATGCTTGCACACAGAGTGACTACTGGGTCTGCACCCATCTACCTAAACTCCATAATACAAACGTACGTTCCTTCTCGGCCACTACACTCCTCCAACGAACGCCGCCTGGCTCTGCCATCCCTTCACACAAAGCAATCTCAGTCCCAGCTGTTCTCATCTGTGACACCACGATGGTGGAATGAGCACATGCCATCAGAGCAGGGGCGTCCCTCTCTAACTTCAAGAAGCTCTTGAAAACTCATCTCTTCCGAGAACACTTATAACACCTAACTCCTAACCTCTGACATGCACTTCCTGTGCTCTTCTTCTTCTATCCCCTTACAATTATCTTATTATTGATTGCACTTTTTTTGTTAACTCTTACTTCCTTCCCCAGGTATTTACTCCATTGAAGTGATATAAACTATGATCTCTTACTAGTATTTATTGCTGCTCTTACTAGTATGTATTGTTAGTTGTACATCTGTATTTGATGCTCTGCTGATGCTTGTATATTGTTCCTCAAATGTAAGTAACTTTGGATAAAAGCATCTGCCAAATGAGTAAATGTAAACGTAAACATCTCTTCCTATAGCAGTTGTCCCTGTCCTGTCGTCCTCTACAGCTCAAGGCTTTCCAGCATGCTCTGAGCTCCCACGACTGCTCCCGCAATGTTTACGTGAAAAAGAATGGCTTCACCCTGCACCGCAACCCTATCGCGCAAAGCACGGATGGTGCACGTGGCAAGATTGGCTTTTCGGAAGGGAGGCACGCCTGGGAGATCTGGTGGGAAGGCCCCCTTGGCACAGTGGCAGTAATAGGCCTGGCCACGAAGCGGGCGTCCATGCAGTGCCAGGGCTACGTAGCCCTGCTGGGCAGTGACGACCAGAGCTGGGGCTGGAACCTGGTCGACAACAACCTGCTTCACAATGGGGAGGTCAATGGAAATTTTCCACAGTGCAACAATGCACCAAAATATCAGGTAGGAGATGGAGCCACAGCTGTATGTTTTTGTACCCTCATCTGTTTTTAAGTGATCCAAAGATAATGTTGAAATGTGTAAAATGCGTCGCCTAATCAGTGACTACAACACTTTTGGACATAAATTTGCTTGTGTCTTTTAAAAATGTATTTATTATTTGGCATTTTTGTAATCTAGCAATGCGTAATTATGTTTTTCCACAGATCGGGGAGAGAATACGAGTGATTCTAGACATGGATGACAAGACGTTAGCCTTCGAGAGGGGTTTTGAATTTCTTGGAGTAGCCTTTCGTGGACTGCCAAAAGCCTGTCTGTTCCCTGCTGTCTCTGCAGTATACGGCAACACCGAAGTCACTATGGTGTACCTGGGAAAACCTCTGGATGGCTAGAGGAAACTGTGCCACCGTTAAAACTAACAGGCCACCGGCAGGTTCAGGACTTTTTCTGTTAGCAGACTGGCGACAATGTTTGTTGCACCATTTCCAAAAGCTTTGGAGGCCAAATGGTTGTGTTTCTTCCAAGCAGAATAACTCAACGCAAATAAGTCAACATAAGGAGTCAGATTTTGGACTGGATAAACTACAGGGAAAAGGATTATGTGGGAACAGTCATAAACATGTTTCTGTATCAACGTGGAAGTGTCCACTTTTACAGTTTAGCTGCTGGACTGTTTTATTTACAGGACAGGGGAACATTATTTAATTTCATGTGTTTCAGGCTAACAGTGCTGAACATTTACCTGAGATTTTGTGTCTGCTTGAATGAGGCCAAAATATTCTAAACAGTGGCAAATACTTTAAGACAGCACTATAACAAGTGAAACAGTAGTTGGTACCAATTGCTATCTGTTGTATGAGTTAATGGAAACAGCTCATCATGAATTTACAGAGTTTAATTATAACTGATGAGTGGATTATAATGGTTATATGCCAAACCAATGTGACCCGATGTTATATTTTGCCATAAGCAAACAGAGGACATGCGGACCAACTGTCATGCATGTGCATGGATACTGGCGTATGGACTGTAACATCTGCCATTTTAAAATACCTATCCAGTAATGATGAAAACTATACCTGTATCATGTTAATGTGTGTACTTTTTAATGTGCTACTGTAGTATAATACACTATTTATTTCTTGGTTTTATCTATGGTTCTATAGATACTGTATGGTTATAAGGCCTAAAAATAAAGTCTACATGGTGCCACACTTAGAATAAAGATTGTTTGTGTTTATGTGTGCCCAGCACAGATGGCTTTTATACCCATGGTTGTCAGTTTGTCTGTTCATACACAGCTGTCCAATTAGAAAACGTGTCTCCAGCCTATGTTATATTAATAAAATTTTTTTGAGGATATAAACACACTGCAGAATGATTTGTACATCTAAATAAAGCTCTGGATCATATAGATCCTTGAACCCAAGTGTAGATGCTACATATTGTTGCTGTCCAGTGAACTTATTTTGAATTTATCTCTTAAATGGAAGTTTTAACTGTTCCTTAAGCTGAAAACAGGTGTTCTTTGAAAAGTTAAAGTTTTGGAGATACAGTAAATGGTTTTCACAGGACAATGATGTGATTTGCCTGGATGGTAACTGCAGTAGCCATTTTAGGTTATTGTTCTGTGTATGAAGTAAATAATGCAAAAGACTCATTAGACTATCTAATATCTAATATAATAAGATTAACATATGATAAAAATACATACTTGCTTTGCTCTACCAATGATTTATAAAGGTAGTAGGCTACAACAGT